ATAATGTGAAATAGGAAGAAAAGGGCTAAAGGTGTAGGTGAAGTGGGAAGAGTGGGGAAAAGGAAACAAGGGGAAAGAAAAATAAATTAGAAAATGAAAAAATTGAAATAAAATTTTTGTAAATAGGGAAGGGAGGAGAGGGTGAAGAGAGGGTGGGGGCAAGGGGGAAAAAAGAACCAAGACCTGTCATGTAAAGATACAAGATCCAAATGATGATGTAACTGTACCTAAAATGTACCAATAAATTCAGTGAGAAGAAAAGAATATTTTATTGTTTTGTCTCAAATACTTTCAAGTATAAAATACAGATTTTGTAAATAATGATGAATGTTCTCTCTGGAAGAGAGCTTATGGTAACTTTTCATCTGATTTTTTTTCTTGCTGCTGGTGAGATCTCACTTTATCAGGATGCCTACATCCCCCCAACCATCTTCCTCAATGCATTCTTCACATCCTTGTTCCTCAGGCTGTAGATCAAGGGGTTCAGCATGGGGATCACCGTGGTGTAGAACACAGAGGACACTTTCTCCTGGTCCATAGTACTGCTGGAAGGGGGCTTGAAATACATGAATGCTATAGAACCAAAAAATATGCCCACAGCCATGAGATGGGAGCTACAAGTACCAAAGGCTTTGGATCGTCCTTCAGTGGAGCGAATACGGAGGATGCTAGAGAGAATGAAAGCGTAAGAGATGAGAACAGCCAGTGTAGGGGCTAAGGTATTAACTCCTCCAATAATAAACAGAAGTGTCCTAATAATGTGAGTGCTGGAGCAAGACAAGGTCAATAAGGGCAGTAAATCACAAAAATAATGACCGACAATGTGAGATCCACAGAAGGACAGCCTTGACATATAGGTGGTGTGAACTGTGGCCCCAAACAAACCCAGCGAGTATACTACAGCCATCATTATGTAACAGACCCTGTGAGACATGATGATATTGTAAAGCAGTGGGCTGCAAATAGCAACGTAACGGTCGTAGGCCATGGCCATCAGGAGGTAGCCTTCTGCAATGACAAAAATAAGGAAGAAGTAGAGTTGAGTCATGCACTCCAGAAAGGAAATAATGTTCCTTTCTGACACAAAGTTCACCAGCATTTTAGGGGTAATGACAGAGGAGTAGCACAGATCGATGAAGGACAAATGACTGAGAAAATAATACATTGGAGAGTGAAGTTGGGAAGTGACAAAAATTAAGAGGATCATGCCCAGGTTGCCCACCACTGTGACCACATAGATTCCAAGAAACAAGAGGAAGAGTAGCAATTGAAGCTCTGGACTTTTTGTTAACCCTTCAAGGATAAAATCAGTCACTGAAGAATGGTTTGAAGTAGCCATTTCTTACAGAATATTATCTGTAGGAAGAATAAGAGAGGGAAAACATTAGAGGTATTTTCTAATTCCCAAAGCAAAAGGCCTTGTTCTGTGATTTTTCTTCTCTGACAGCATTATCTGTACCGTAATCTCTTCCTTTCCAAGGACCTCTTAAAAATGTAAAGACAATAACTCTGAATGAAATGCAGAGCCTTGTTTCACCCAAACCCAACTATTTGAATGCTCCTGATTAAGGCAGTGCCCTTTCCTTTTGTTGCCTGGCTTGTGCTTCTAACTGCTTCACTTTGAGTAAAAACAACCTTCACAGATCTAAGCATGTTTTTGTTTATAGCACTAAAACAAGACTGCTCAATCATTTTGTCTGAGTACATGCCTTCATCTTCAGACTTTGTGATCACGGGGCTTGCAATCTAGATCTGAAAGTATAAATGTAGGGCATTTTAACCTTCCAATCCACACACGTGATTAGCATTCTCTAAAACTGGAAGGTGGCACACGAAAGATGTCTACAAAGAGATCACAGGTTCAGAAAGCACTTACGGAAGTGGCTCTATGTTGCTTCTGGCCTTGATCCTCTCACTTCTGTCCTCTGAAGGAAAATCTTGAGTGAGCCTGTACTGTTTTAGTGTGGATGTGACTGAGAGAAGAAGTGCAGTGCATTCCTTTCTTACATTACAGTGTAGACCTTTCTTTTTCCAGAAACAATAGAGGAATAGGGTTGACTTTGAGAAGGAATAACTCAAGCATCAAAAGAGCAGTGCTGCCCTC